GAAATACGAGGTAGTTTAGGAAGCACTAGAAAATGATGGCTACTTCTCACAAATTTTCTTAAAGCACTGAAAAGGGTTGGGCCTTTAAATGTATTAATTCACTCTTTAAAAAAGGGAAGAGCCTGGCACTTGCTAGATGCCAAGGTTTGTACCCATTATTGATTTTCTATTTCTTAGTCATCATTTAAGAAGTGAAAAGAAGTCAATAAAAGCATCTACTGTCGATGAGGGCTAAGTGAAGTAATGGGGGAAAAACAGTTGCTCAGGACCCATGGCTTCCAGAACAGTCTGCAATATTTCTTATTATCTGTATTATATTGGTGGGAAATGTATACTTCAAACCATCCAAAGATGCTTGGGATTTTAACACAGACTTCTGAGGTCAGTGATCACGTGATTTCTACTGGCTCCGCGAGGAAAGTTGAGATTTTTCTTTTCCAGTAGGAATTTGAAAGGAGAGGTGGTCTTTCTTTAGTCCCCACCCATCTATAAGATGTAGAGGCTGTGGTGCTTTGGTTCACGTATGAATGAGGCCCCTAGACGTAGGTGACAGAGCAAATGACATGCAGTCGGGGGCAGTGGCCACTCACCAGAGCATGGACATTGACAACAGCTGCACAGGAGGGGCAGAAAAACAACAAGGGGAACATACGTCAGCATCTTCAGACTTCATCATTCCAAATACAATACTGCAATACTGGTCTGAACAAATTCAATTCTTAAAGGTATGCTGTATTATCATAAAGTCATGCTTATTTGACTCTGTGGTGAAACAGAAACGTTCACTAACAGTGTCACTCTTTGGCTCCTGAGATTATACAATTTTAAAATGCGAAGATATTACTCCTGATAAAGTGCCCTTAGCAATTGCAGTTATAATCCACGTGCTGACAAGCCCAGCTGCCTTACAAACAGAAAGCTTTTCCGTGAGTGGTCCAAAAAAGTACTCCAACTTGGAGTTCATTTTCCACAGATAGACACAGCTTCAAAAAGTGGCTGTCCCCTCGCCGGTTATACGAAATATGCTGGTCAAATGGTGTTTTTGTGTGTATTTTGATGGGCAAACATGCATGTGTGTATTTCTTATTAAACAGGTGAATAAAAGAATAATTGGGTCTATTATGAGAATAAAAATAGGCTGATTTTTTATGCCTATCCCTTAGAGTTAACATCTTTACATGTTAATAAAATTAATACATACAATTGTATACATTAGTATCTGTCCTTTTTCTTAATTTACTTTTAGTTTGTTTTTTGGAAACAGGGTTTCACTCTGTATCCCTGGCTGGCATCAAACTCGCACTGTTCTTCCTGCCTTATCCTCTGAGTGCTGGAATTATTACAGGTCCTTTCCACGACACCCAGATATCCTCTTGCTTGTTTTAAAACAACCACTTCTATTATCTTTTCAGGTTCATCACTTGCAGTGTCTACACCATGAACACTGTATCCACTCAGAAGCTGTCCGCAAGGACACCAGACCAAGAACGAATCTGTAAGGGCACTCAGTCAGCCCCGTAGACACTCGCAGCCGTCAGCTTGGATACAGTTGGGGCAGACAGCACAAGCGAGGAAAACGAGTAAGAACTTGGGCTCTGGTAGATATTCCTGGGCATGCAGCGGGCGCCGAACGGTCCTTAAAATTCTTGAACTTCTGGATTCACGCTGCAAAGGGTATGGGAAGGGCTCTCAGTAGGTGAGAATCAGACCAGGCCTTCAGGAAATCTTGAGAATATGACGATGACACTAGACTGTGCATACCCTCTCCCACTTCCCATAGCTTAGCCATACACAGAAAAATCAAGCACCTTGATTAATCTTGATTAATTAAATAATCATTCTCTCTCCCCTTTCTGACACATAACAAAGACAAAGAGTTTTGATTTAAAATACTCATTAGGTGAAAACAAAGCAATCCTTTTTTCCCCCCAACAGGAAGGAATTTCCAAAATCAGTACTAAAATACTGAGAAATGGAGAAACTGTGTTTGTAATTTATGATCACAGGGTTCATGATTCTAAGTCATTTAGAAAGTAATTGTTCTAAATGCACTCTTCTGTGCAGCCCTGGACCCTACCATGGCAAAAAGACTGTATTGGGGAAAAAATCAATAAACTTAAACAAAACCTGGGGCAGAGTGAAAATCGTTGTATTTCTTTATCATATAAACTTGACAGCTGAACTCATGATAATGTCAGATGACAAAATTAAAGGCAAATGAGTGAGTAATAAGCAGGAAATCTTCACACCGTTTTATTTTTGTAAATGCAAAGTTGCTCCAAATAAAACGTTGGGCTGAAAGAAAATTTGTTTTTAATTTTCTACTGTGTAAAAAGCTAGCCAGCTCAGGGGCAGCATCTGACAGCCGGGTATCATGGGACAAACAACACACCCTGAGCTTCCTCATGCAGAAGAGAACGGAAAGTGTGAAAGGAAGACGTGAACCCCAAGGCTGCCAAGCACAAAAGGTGAGGTGAAAGTTTGTTATTCATGAGAACAAAACAACTTCTTTAATCATTCTAAAACTGCAATAAAATCAATCCATTCCTAACGTCTTTGGGAAAACATGTTGGTAGATAATTTTGGAATTATAAAGATGCTTTTATTCATGACAGCAAACGAAACCCTAAATATTTACTTTAAAAAGTGAAGAGATGGGCTATGGCTTTTCTTGTCCGTCCACTGGCATCCTTCCGGGTGCGGGTCTGAGCCTTGTTTTCCACTGTCTTGTAATTTAGCTCCAGCCGAGGGAGAGGTCGGCTGTGACAGCCAGCACTAAGGCAGCTCGGGCTCCAGCCACTTACGTTCTGAGGCAGGGCCCTAAATCACTTCAAATGCACTTAGGGAAAATCAAGTGGACTTGGTTACATCAGAAGACTGCACTCTGTGCTCACTGTTTCTTACCAGTGATGTCCCTCCGAGTGCCATCGGTTAGTGTGTGGTTGTGGTGATAGCAAATTTTAAATTCTATCAATAACTACAAATAAATACGAATCTCGGTCCTCACACTCACCGTGCTCTTATATCAGTATTGTTTGTGCATCTGGGACATCTCTAAATTATTTCATTTTAACCGGAGAATAAAAACTGACAATAGTTTTAACTTCTCTGGAGTTGAAAGAAAGAAAAGAAGGAAGGAAAGATAAAAGGGAGGGAGGAGGGAGGAAAGAAAGGAGGAACGGGGAGTAAAGGAGAGGGGAAGAGAGAATGGGGGGCGGACGAGAGGAAGGAAGCAAGGAAAGGAGTGAGGGAGTCAGGAAAGAGCAGGCAGGGAGAAAGAGGCAGAAAGGAAGGCAGGAAATGGAAGAGAAAGGTCTGCACTCCGTGACAACGGCTCCCTCCTGGGCTCCTGCCGTTCTCTGGCCTCACAGACGCTGTTTCTGCGCTTGTGCTGTCATCGGTCTGGTGATAAAACGCTCATTAAAAATAAAGAGTCTGCATCGCTAAAACGCAACAATAAACTCAATGAGGAAAAAAATAAATAAACGAAGAGTCTGCAGGCGCGAAACGTGTTACCTGCTCGAGTGGAGCCCTTGCCCAGCAGTAAGCACGGTAGCCTGGGTAAGACGCACACACTCCTGCAAAAACATGAATTCCAAACCTCACTGCCGTCCAGCTCCAGGCTCCGCACGCATCGCAAGGACAGTGACGGCTCGCCAGCTAAGGAAAAGTCCTTTCGGCTGCTCGCGGCCAAGCATCCTGCTCTCTCCAAGGTCACCTGCTCCTTCGCTGAGCCCAGTTTAAAGGGGTTGCTCGCTCGGGTCCTGAGCACATGAAGTTGCTTCTACTCCCCCGGGGTTTGGAAATTTTCCCTCCGTGTGATTTTCCAAGACACAGTGTGTGTGTGTGTGTGTGTGTGTGTGTGTGTGTGTGTGTGTGTGTGTTTCCTTGTTCAGGGTTTATACGCTTTCATGACCTCAAACAATCTGAGATTTTTTTTTTTTAATCTATTGAGTTTATTTGCACTTTTTAGGTATACAGTACAGTTACACTCATCATCGGGATCTCGTACCTTTACACGATAGGTCTTGGTGCTCATTTCTCCCCATACCCGTGTCCTCCCTCCACCCCCTCCACCCTCCCCTATTGACAAAGACTTTGTTTCCATGTTTTTCCTTTTCTCATATTTTTTCTTTTCTCTTCTTTCCTTTCCCCTTCCCA